CGTTGTGTCCTCTTTATAGTACGGAGTAGACAGACATTAAAAATTATCAATTTTGTTGATGAACTTTGAATATATATCAACTATTTCCAGAACGGCCAAATTCCGAGGCAAGTTTTTTTGGACTGCCCAATATCCCGATTCATCAAACAAAAGTATTGACCAACCGAGAATATGTTGCACCCCATTTCAATTCATATGAGCATAAATAAATGATAAAGCCCGTGAATTTCTTACACTAACTAACCACAATCGTTAAGTATTTCTAACCCAACCACCAGATTTTACAACCGTACGCGCTATCATTATTTCATTGAGATACATTAAGATTTCTCTGAAATTATGGCCGTAAAACAAGGTGCGTCGCTTCTTCGATTTAACCTTTCCGTTCGCCATAATTTTTACTGACCGACTGATTGCCTTGGATGTATTGAATTTCTGCGTTTCCATTTACTCATTTGTTCCCGTTAACTTGTTTCGTTCATAAACTTATACTTTGTCTACGCTGTTATGTAACGGAGTCTACCAGGAGCATGGACTCCTTATATGTGTGCGTTCTATAAAAACATTCTCAGCGAAACTTCTTTTCGCTATTTTTAATTATCGATTGCTTGTCTGACAGAACGGAAACATTATGACAATGATAATTATCTGGATGTCACTGATGTGACAAATGAGTTGGCGACGATGACGAATGCCGATCAATCTTCCTCTGTACCAGGAGATGGAGAGTTGAATACTGTTCATATGTTATGCCACTTGGAGTCTGCAGGAGACCAGGAATTATCAAAATTGGAGATACCACCTCTGCATATTATCTATGGGTCAAGAACTTCTGTTGACAAGTCAGCATCACGGATATACCGTTCTAATACAATTAACGAATCTCTTAATTTCCTGGTGTGAGGTAGGTGCAAACACATTTGAAGCATTCCCCTGTCTCGCGCGCAGATGACTAGTCGCTTCCATATCGTGTCCTGTTTTCGCGCGATTAGCTAATCTTCCAAATCTACTACTAGCTATCCCAGCACGAGACATAATGAAGTCAGTCAATTCATTAAAAGTAGGCTCTCTTACCTCTTCGTCCCACTTAATTCCCAGCTCTGCCCACTGGACTTGCATTCGATGAGGTAAGAGCCTAACTATTTTCTCCAAAGTTACTAGAGAGTTTAGTTCCGCTGGACAATTTAATTGTTCCAGGGTCAGAGCAACGTTCTGCATCTTAATTGCCAAATTTGACAATTGTTCTGGGTCATTGTAATCAGCATTTCCAGATCTAAACAGGTCTTCCAAAGTTTCACGAGCTATTACGTGCGATGTTCCGAAAAGCTGCCTTAAAATAGCCTTAGCCCTTTTATATCCTGCGTGGGGTTCCATTATAAGGCATCCTTCAGTCGCATCTCTCGCCTTTCCCTTACAATAGTGAATTAAATACAATAAGCGCAGATTATCATCAATAACTCTAGGTTCTATAAATGTGTCGAATTGTTTTACAAACCTAAAGTAATCGCAGTGTCTGCCATCGAAGAAGGGGAGTTCTACCTTTTGCAACTCTAATCCAACTACCGGTATCCTAGGCCTCAAATCCTTCCCAGATACCTCTAAGTCCTCGTCCAAACTTCGTTCCTTAGTACCCTCTAATAATGACTTACAACAATGAGTACTAAACATAATATCGTCCTTACTAGAGAGTGAACCCTTTAAAAATGAAGTTTCATAAGGGACTTGCCTCATATCCCGAGATTCTTCAAGGACTCCATCTATCTTCGTGTTTGCTTTCTTACGAGAACTCATGATCAATTGAAATTCAACGAAAAGGAAATAACAAAGACCAAATATAAATTTTCACCGGTAAAGATTCTTCGACAATGAGAAATCCAAAAGGACCAAAAGATCATCTCCCCAAAATGCAGTTTAAACAAAGTAAATGATAAGTAATCCAAAAGTTCTTCTTCCAGGAAGTGTTTTGAGATTGTAAACCACACAAATTCCAAGAGATTCTTCCTGCTTCTATTGTTCTGAACTGTAAATGGATATTCTACTCTAGCAGTTCACTCCGGCTTCAATCGGTGCAGGTTGGTACGCGTTCGCCCAGATCAGGAACAAAAACACAATAATTCTGGGAGAAAACAGTTCAAAACAATATTACACCTTCGAGTTCCAAATTACCGCGATGGGTATCCGTTTCTGGAAGAATAAGTGCTTCCAGTCCGTTACTGTTAAAGTATCAAATCCAAATATGGCTGTAGCCATATTAAATATCAAATTTAAACAGTTCAGAAGGAAACATAAAAACTTCAATATAAGTATATGATAAAGAAATAATAACAATATACAATGATAAAATCTCAAAATGGAATCAAATAGAGTACCAAAATATCAACAGAAAGATTCAGTCACATCATAACACAAATCATTTTCCAAAAACAAAACCTTCAAAATAGATTCTACAATAAGATTTAATTAAAGTTGGAAAAGTTGGAAAACAGACTATTTCAACGTGCATATAAAACCTTAGTTGCTAACATAACTGGTAGGAAATCAAGAAGCATCCACGTACTTGCTTACTAAGACCTGTTACCCCTAATGGAGCATAGGCTGACGATTAGTATTTTTCTACCTACTCTGTCCTGATCCTCCCTTCCTAGTACTGTTCAATTACGGTCCATTCTTTTGATGTCTGCTTCCGATTCTCGGAGTACTGTGTTCTTCGGTCTTTCTCTTCACACTTCGTCTTCAGGATTCCAACTGAAGGCTTTTCTTGTGGCAGTTTTAGAAAGATATGTCAGTGAAAAATATCCGAATAAAACCATTACATCGATTGTCAGGATATAGCTTAATCTCCAATAACAACCAGATTTAAAAGACTCTCGCTGTAACCTTCCTAATTTTAATAGTTTAATTTATAGATATTTCTCGTACTAATTGGGTTTTTAATCCCCCGTACAAGAACATTCTGATTTGTTTGTCTCATGGTACGTGTATCCCAATGGAGTTTACAACGTGAAGCAATAATTAAAGAACTATTATTCAGATCATAAGCTCAGGAAAGCTATGGTCATTTGCTTGAAGTGAGCTAAGAATAACATTGGAAAAGCGTAAAAACCTTTTCCTTTACTAATAAAACTGGTGTGAGCTGCTGTCAGGAATAATTTTTTGTCATTATTATTTCAGGAGTTCAGTTGTTTGGCGATTATACCACAGTCATATGTAGTATCTTGATGTTAAATCGAACATTGGAATCAATACAAATGTTCTTGCTGAAATCGCACTTCGTTTTTCATTTATTTTGGATAAATTGGCTTTCGGTCTTTCAAAAGCGTCGTCAATAACCCAACAACCGAAGGAAGTCTTTACTACATCCATCTTCTCGTCCCATTAAAACATAGAAATTCCGTAATGTGTGTATCAGTGTGTTGAGCCCACATGGCTTGTCTTAGCTTTCGGACAAACTATTTAACCTCTCCTGCAGATTAATTATTCACTCGTCCTTTGACCTTGTAAATCATTCACTCATATCTTGTTTGTTTTTGCTTGAGTGTGTGCATTTCTTACTTCTCTTGCAACACGTCTAATATACTTTTATCGGACTATAAATACTCGATAGTGCCTCGTCACACTGAAGTACTTTACTCGCCCTTTTCACTTCACTTCACTTCGCATTTACGCTTTGTATTCTCATGTCTGCCTGATGGAAACTTGCGTGACGTAAATAAGCGGTATATGGCTTCTTACTACCACTGTCGCACAAACAAAGCAACGCGAAATGAAATAGAAAATTTATTTCATAGCATATTGAATTGTTTGTAAATGTTGGAGTCAGATAAATGGCCGCTAAAATCTCAAAACTAGAAGCTGAGGATGGTGCGATATGGAAGAAGATCTAGATTATAGGTCAAGCTATCGTTCAGATGGTTCAAATAGCAATGGACGGAATAGAAAAACTGCCCACCTAGTAAGCGTGCGAGCCCAGTAGCAGTGTATCGATGACGTTTTCATCTAGAGACCTTTGCATTTGCGAAAGCCAGAAAGAACTTGTAAATCAATATAAGATCCCGCCTCCACTCTGTTTTACTCTCGAATTAACATTGAGGGAAAAGCTTGCATCACTTCAGAAGACAGCGAATTCCAAGATTTGGCTACTTTCAGATTGTGGAAGGTGCAAACAGTTCACTTCACTGAGCTGCTCTTCAAATTCAGAAATATTATTCCCAAGGTTTTTACTGGGAATGAGCTTAATGAGTTATATTATGAAGTGTTCAGGAGTACATAAGATGCAGTAGGTCGCTAAATGGTGAAATTCAAGCAACATTTTCCATAATTGGTAAAAGTACATTGATTCGAGAGGTTCCCTTTCGAACTGTCGTGTCTCGCATCTGCACACGCTCCAGAATTCACTTATTGTTTCGAAATGAGTTGGAGCACTATGTTTCCTCACTCTAAATGGGCACAATACGAAATTCAGGATTTTAGTAAAAGTTACACCGTCGGAGCGACTAAAAATGTTCTTAAAAGTAACTAGTGAAAGGTTTTCTATAGTATGTGAGAGTATTGTATCTAAACTGACAGTTATCGTCGGAGATATTATGATCAGAATATCGCAATTCGATTCGGCAAAAGAGCCTGGACAAGTGCTTTCAGCTGACGGTGTGTCTGGTCGCATTAAAAAGGTCAGTATTAACAACTAATGCATACAAAGCTGTTTATTTTGGAGATTTATTAACCACCACAAGTCAGTTATGATATAAATGTTTGGGCAGAAAGCGTTGATTTTACTCCTATTAAGGTAAAGTTGAAAATAAATTAGATTTTGTTGAGGGAAATAAAGCTCCAAGTATACACGCTCCCAGCTTGGTTTTAGTATTTTCTTAAAACATCATTTATGATGATTCCATTTCTGACGAATTAGATAAAACACATTATTACCAGAATAATTATTCTTTACTTACATGTAAGAAATAAAGTGTGTAGGGTTTGATATTCATTCATTACTTCTGTATACTTTTAGTTCTTCAGAGGCATTGTGTTTAACCTCATTCGTAGCTTTTCCTGGCGGGCTGGTTGTCACCTTGGGGATTGCGTTATACATGATTACCGTACGATAGTTTGGCCGGGTCGATGTTAGAAAACCGTGGAACTTTGGACTCGCCGTCTGGCGAGCAAAATATTTTGAAGAAAGATGTGTCCGACCTGATGGCAGATGCACGTAAATCGAGAAAGGCGGTCTTTAGACGAACAATCGACTATAATGCTTCTGCTATCAACTACCTTCAAAATAGGATTTGGGTCAGTAGGGACATAGACCGTCCGATGCTTCAGCCAGATTATTTGTGGAGTCCTAAGGTGATTGTTATTTATAATCATTTCTATTTATCAGTTGTGTCCTCCGAGGAGTTATATGGACTCTCCCATGAATTGCGTCATGTCAAAGCCTGTTCGTACATCTACTAACAAAAATAAATGCCCCATATATTGTGTTTGCGTAAGTAGTCACTTTTCTTACTTCTTTTCAGTGGACACCTGAAGGAAGAAGGTTAATAACGGGAGCTTTCAGTGGTGAATTTACGTTGTGGAACGGTTTGACATTCAATTTTGAGACAATTTTACAGGTTAGGCAATTGGTTTCCTCTCGTTTATAATACCTATATAGATCATACTTTTCTACTAATATTAAAGCTGAGTGACTTATCATCAGCTATTGAATGTATAGATACCTTTAGAGTTAGATTGTTCTGAATATCTCACCAAATAATTATTTTTGTGCCCGTTAACAATGGTCTGGTTCAAAATCGCACCTCGTTACAGGACTTAACACTGATTCTTAATTTAATCTTTGAAGTCCTTAATAATCCCTTCTGTTACCAGTCTGTTCCTTATTTCCTCAGTTCTGGACACCCGAGCTAAAGATCGACTATACTATTTCATTTTCGAATTCAAGAATTGTTTACAAAGGTTCTGTGTCATAGACTAATATGCACCTGCGCCATTGCAAACGATTTTGAGCCATGTCGTTCCAGATCTCTGACCGTCAGTTACTATCCTCTCGCGGACCCCAACCAGGTAGTTCGCATCTACCAACATGACTCATTGCACTTGTTTGTGACTTCATAGATTTGTCCCATCTTTTGACTTGACTGACCCTAGCTTTCTTCCAATCTACTTCTACACCACAAAACATCTCGTCGAGGCAGCCGGTAGCTGGGCATACGTAACACGTCCTAACCACCCTAACTGATGAAGTTTCAGTACTTCATTTATTGATTTACTATCTTTTCCTAACGACAACATTGCTTGCTCGATTACCCCATAATACACGAGCAATGCTTATAAGGCATCTACGATCAACTACCAGTAACCTAAGAATATTTTCTACTCCCATTGACCGTGTTTCGCATCCATATAGGAGAATGGAGCGAACTACTTCGCAGTAGTTTAGACCTATGATTTGCGAATGGATATTTCGCCTAGGCCGTAAAGTTGGAAAAGCCAGTGCTGACGTTTCGTCACACACCAGGCCATCAGCACTGATGAGACTCCGGAAATTAGTGAAGCGGTCGACATGCTCAACTGATTCACTCCCTATCACTAGTTCAGGTGCCAATGCAACCCAATCTTTAAGCGATGTTTTGCATCTCGAAGAGGAGAACCGCGCCCCGAACATGCTTCCGTTGTTGTCAAATAGAATTGTTATCGGAATATTCTAGGTCCATAAGCGAGTCTCCTAGTGCGAGGTCCACCCCTGAAAGCATGTCTACGTCAGAAATGGAGAAAGTGAACATTCCTGAATAATAGACTTGAAGTAAAGAATTCCGATGACACTTCGTTATAGGCTTGTATAAAGTTAATGTACTTCTTTGGCACACCTTTTGATGACAGCCACTGCCACAGAGCCTCACGATCTAAGGAATTGCATGCCGCCTTAAGGCCGAGAAATACTACAATTGTGGGGTATCTGAACGTGTATTTATGTTCTAAGACCTGCAGTAGTGTGAATATGGTCTGTAGATCCACGTCTGAAACCAGCCTGGTTTTTTCGAGTTTGCTCTTCACGAGTTTTAGCTAAGCGTCCGAGTATTAATGAGGTACTACACTACTTAGACTGATTCCTCTGTAATTGTCATAAGAGGACTGGGACAGTTCCCAGATTCCACTTAAGATCTCAGTCAAACGGCTAAATCTATACCACCATCCTTGAAAATCTCAGGGGTAAGTCTGTCAAGCCCTGAAGCTCGCCTTCGCTTGAGCTTTCCTATATCTGATATCAGTTTGCTATTCAAGATGACTGGAGATTGTGGGCAACCGTTAGTGTAACTGAAGGCCAGTTTAACTGATCCCTAAGTGTCGTGCCCATCGATCCAATCTCCTGGGTTGAGAATGAATGATGCAGCCAACCTTTCTTGAGATAGTTTCGCAAACAGATGAGTTTCTAATACCGGTATCCTTGATTAGGCGGAACAGTTGTCTGCTGTTACCTATCTCCACTGCCCTTTCCGTCGCTTTCGCCACCCACCACTGTTCGCGATCATTGGGTAGGCTTTTTATCAGCCTGCGCCTAAGCTGACTTCGCTCTTCATGTTCAGAGCCAGGTGGGATAAGATCTACCCCCGTGCTTTTCCTCTATAGTCAGTTTACCTACTTGATCATTAAAGTCACCAGCCATTATTACTATATCACAGCGCCTAACGTTTTGGAGAAGGTCCAAATCTTTCTGTAAAACTCATCTTTCACCTCGTTTGAAGTGTAGGCGAGGGCAACGGTGAGTGACCCTACCTTTCAGAGTTCTGGCTGTGCCGTTTAGCTGGACAGCGCATAAGCAACTGTCTACCTGGATCCAGTCTGGGAGCGCTAGTTCTGCCCTAGGACTCAATGCTATACCTACGCCAGAGAGACCCCGGGAAGCAGCATCAGGGTCTCCGGATACACGAAGAGTAAATCGGACTGCTTCTCTATTTTGATAAGGTGCAATCAAATTAATGATTTTACTAGGATCCTGTATGCGCGTTTCCGAGACGCAGCATACATCAATGGCGCGAGGTTCTCAAGTCCTGCCTAAGGAAGCCTGTTGTTCTATTTGGCACAATGTCCGGACATTAAAAGCTCCAACATGTAGTTTATCACGGGGTTTCAGGAATAGCGTTTCGTGAACTCGAGTCGTTTGCCTTAGCGGTGCAGGGTGTTGAAGGGAAGAGTGAGACGTGGAGGTAAGAGAAATGTTAGGTGGTGTAGGAAGGATTTGATTGTGACCACTTTGGTCTCGTGTGCTGGTACGGGTATGAGGGCAGATGCCACTTCTCGGCTGCCCAAACCGTGAAAGAGTTTTTCTTGAGGAACTCGAAAAGGCAGTTAAATTAGCGTTGATCTTAGGGACCTGGGAGCGTGACTGCAGAGCCAATGGGACAACTGCTTGAGGCTGGTCACGTACGACCGTTTTATGATAAGTTTTTGAAATGTAAGCTCCGCTCTTGTTTAAAAGGCCTTAGTACCGGAGACGGAAATCTGTGAGGTAATGTGAGGTGTAACATTCTTGCATGTATTTTGCAGTTAAAATAACGGATTCAGTCAGTCAGTCAGTTGCAACGTAGAACTTCGTACGTAAGTACATCAGTTCATGTCGCCATACCACATCAGCACAGAGATATAATTGTCAATTCAAATCCAATAGTAGAAGAGGTAGTAAAGGTATTAGAAGTAATCGGAGAGGTTAGAATTAGAAGATATTATTCACGAAGTGTGATTCAATGAGATAAGTTTAGAAAGTAAAAGCTAGAGGTGTTGAAGAACTCAGAAGATTAGGATTTGAGAGAACACAAAGAATAAATGCACTGGCGCCATTGCGAACGATTTTGAGCCATGTCATTCAAGGTCTCTAACCATCGATTATTATCATCTCGCGGACCCCAACCAGGTAGTCGACAATTACCGACATGGCTTCCCTGCTGTTTTCTCCAGATCTAGGTCGGCTTTCGCAACATCTGATGTGGCTAGACAGATCGTTCCTCGAAGTGTACCAAGCTTGTAGTGTTTCAGTCAGGTCTTCCCGGTTCCTAAATATCACAGCCATCAGGCGTGGTGACTTGATAGACGTAAGGTGTGACGGGCGGGGCAACCTAGAAATGCAAACAGCCATCGTGGTGTGGAGGGATAGGCTACACGATAGCCATCGCCACTGTTGCACATCGTGCTCGTGAGCTTCGTCCGGCCTACCGCTGGTGAGTTCGGGTATACCGTGAATTACCATGGTGGTCTGTTCTTGGGTGCCTGGCGCAGTCCTGGCTGCTGCACGTACCTACCACGGCTTGTCACGCCTGATGCGAATTGGCGGAGACAATTTGACCGATGGTCTTTGGGATGAAAGGATGATATCTTCAGCAAGTCGTGCCGAGGCAAGAGTTACCCTCAATGGAGGGGGTTTTCCTTTCGAAACATTTAGGCCTTTGAAAAGGCGGTATATTTTGGCATAGACGTTGCACATTCCGAGGGTTGTGCAGTGTTTATCCCACTGCTCTTTGACGAAGGCAGCCCTGCCTTCTAGCAAGCATTCTTCCGATACTGGGACATTCAATAAAATAAATGTCAGTCAGTCAGTCAGTTGCAACGTAGAACTTCGTACGTAAGTACATCAGTTCATGTCGCCATACCACATCAGCACAGAGATATAATTGTCAATTCAAATCCAATAGTAGAAGAGGTAGTAAAGGTATTAAAAGTAATCGGAGAGGTTAGAATTAGAAGATATTATTCACGAAGTATGATTCAGTGAGATAAGTTTAGAAAGTAAAAGCTAGAGAGGTTGAAGAACCCAGAAGGTTAGGATTTGAGAGAACACAAAGAATAAATGCACTGGCGCCATTGCGAACGACTTTGAGCCATGTCATTCAAGGTCTCTAGCCATCGATTATTATCATCTCGCGGACCCCAACCAGGTAGTCGACAATTACCGACATGGCTAAGTCCACTCGTCAATGACTTCATGGATTTATGCCATGTTTTGGTTTGACCGCCCCTAGCTTTCTTCCAACCTATTCCTACACCACAAAACAAAGCTCGACGAGGCAGTCGGTGGTTAGGCAAACGCAACAAAATAACGGATTTGACTGGGATAAATGGCAGCAATCCTTAGGTACGTAGCTTTCGGCAGCAAATTTTAGAAAACTGGTATTTTGAAGGCCTTCCGTATGTCGTTTTCCTCTGTAAATCCAAAGGCTGAAGTTTTGTTTCTTGTGTAGAATGATCTAAATTGTATATTCTATAATTATTGAGTTGTGCTTATCACATATAACCCAAACGTATTATGTAGAAGCTCTTCGAGGGGTCTTCCGTCTTATTTTTGAACTAAGATATTAGAGCATTAATTATCTTACTGCTACTCCTGCCAAGTTTATTCCGTGCTTGATAAATGAAATAGTTTACTCTCATTCTTTCTACAGTTATGATTTTATTGCTTTGCTGATCAAGGCGTCCTAATTTTGTAACTTAATTTTATATTAAGATTTATTATGCAACGAGTTATTAAGATATGTTATTTACCACAGGCTCATGAATCACAAATCCGTTGTATGAAATGGTCTCACAACGAGGAATGGTTACTAACGGCTGATCATTCTGGATATGTAAAGTATTGGCAAGCTAATATGAACAACGTTGAAATGTATCAAGCGCACAAGGAACCAATTCGTGGCGTAAGGTACGCTTTTGCTGAGTTGGAATCATCTTGTGCAGTTCCAACAACTTTAACTCTACATAAAACTATTCTGATATTTGACAACTGTCTAGATTTATTTTCAAAATTGTACTATTTATTGTTAAGCACAAAATACACCAGTTATGATACTGTAGGCCTAATAATAAAGGTCTTATATGTATTACTCCTAGTTTGGGTAGTTGCAGTTTTGTTACTTTTACGGGGATTCAAAGAGTGGTATTTGGCAGAAGCGGGAAAAGTAATGGGATAGAAGTTGGTTATGTAATTAATCGTCATTATTTTCATATATTAGCTTTTAAAGATGTCATAAAGTTTATGGCAAAGATATTTAAAAGGCAAATTAATCCGATTATTCCTGAGTGTTGTGATTAGATAGGTTCTAAAATTTTACAGGTAGGATCAGACGTAATCGTATTTGTTGTTGATTTGATTATCGGAAGTGTTTTCTAATCTAAAATTTTTAGACCGAGTGAATCAGTTCTTTGAGAACTATCGAGAAGTTCTTGGGATATATCTCTTTAGCATTATGAAGAAGGCAATATTGACGTAATGTATCCGATTGTATTCATTTTATTCATTTATTACCGTGCGATCTTTGTTAGATGAACTATCGAGATTAAAATGTCGAGTTGCAAACGAGTTCGTTATCCTTAAGTTGTAGTATCAAAGTTGGTTCATGGTTTAAGTATCCTGTCATACAAACTACCACATTTCAAAGTTGAAAACAAATGTACGGTTGTCGTAATTCGAATTGCTTGCTGTCGTCGGTCAGTGGCTGTGCATTTCTAGATATTTTAGTAGATCACATTTTAACATATGTCAAGGTGAAATTTAGGTTCCCTGTATCCTTACCACCTTTGTCGGAATGTATGTTGATAGTATTTGTTTACCATTGTTGGAGGAAACAAGCCGTTTTAGCTTTTGTCCAATTTCTTATTGAAATCCGCTATTTTTAATCCTCTAGTTTGTACATTGTGAATGCAACTACAACGACCACTTTCCAGTTTTAGAATAAATCATCCACTATTTGTCATATGAATAGCTTTTTGTTTTACAAGCGATATAGGAAAAACTACTGTTTCATATATTTAGTTTGTGCATATGGTGAAGAACTACAAATTGTTAATATTCTAACACCTAATATTTTGTTATACGCTTGTTGAAGTATGAATGCAAGAGTATTTAGGCGTCATTCAACCTCGAATATACTGATCACAATGCATTTCGAAGTTGAAATGAAAATCACTTATCTTAATGACTAACTTGGCGTTACTTGACCTTCATCAAAATACCAGATTAGAGTTTATAATTCATTCATCTTTAAACGTTGATCTAGTCTCAATTTATTTCTAAGTATACCTTGGACTTCCTTGATTTTGTTTCTAAATGTACTACTGTGCCGTGTATCCGCTTATACGTAATTAACAGTGTTATCGAAACCACCAATTCAAACAGGTAGTTATGAACGGACAATAAGGCGTTAAATTTGTCACCAAGCCACTGATTCCATACTCGTGTTCAATGGTAAGATATAGACTGCTTCCAAGTCATTATCTGTATTTTGGGAAGATGAATATAGTCCATGGACAGATGATAGCTTTTTTGGATTGAAAATCAATTGGTATGTGTTTGTAATAGAAGCTAAGGATTGAAGTCGTTATCATTTCATTTGCTTCATTCCGTTTGTAGAGTTACTTGGTCGAAAAAGTTAACATAGAGAGCAGTAGGCCATTCTTAATATCAACAAGCCGTACCATGTGATATGCAGCATTGTTAACTAAGGATATGTTGTATAGTTGCGCCTCTGATTGTCCACTTGATGCTTTTACTTATTCTCCTCACTTGTTTTTTAGGAATAGCATTTAAATCGGAAGTGTAGGAAATAAAATCCTAATCCAATACTATCTTTTATCATTTGTAGTTTCTGCCCATTCGACAATAAATTCGTAACCTGCAGTGATGATTCTACCGTACGTATTTGGGATTTTCATCGTTGTGCTGAGGAGCGCGTGCTCCGAGGTGAGTACGGTTAAAATTGTCTTGCCAACGTACGCTTCATCTTCAAAGTCAGTTATCTCCTTAACCGGTATTTATGTTTATCAGGCTGTCAAAATACAATCTAAATGAGGTCTTTGGAATTGGAACGAGTCATTTGAAAAAATATAGTTGTAATTAGTAGCACTTTCTATTGCTAGGAATTCCGGCCTCAAATGTTTACTCTCCTAAGTTAGTTGGGAAACCAGATGTTTTCGAAAAACATCCGTATTTCGGCAACTTGAATTATAATGAATAGCGTTAAATGTTCAGGTGGTAGTTTTGGCTAAGTCGAAACTAAGGTAACGATTTCTCAGTCAGACTATCTGTATGTAACTAGGTAATTGGAAAACGAGATGCAAAATACGTTTCCTCGGATGGTGTATAAATATGCTGAGTCTTAGTGGAAATAGAGCTGTATTTGCTATCTACGGAGAGCTAGTTTTAGGTTTCTTAGTCAGTTACATATTAATACGGATTTTAGTTGTTGACAATCATTCTTAGACGCGATGATAAGCATCGATGTGTAATAAATTTCTTTGATAGGATTAGTAACATGAACAGCTTTTACCTTAAGTTGTTTGTTGTGCTATAAAGCCGTTGGCCGCTGTTTATATTGGATTGATCGAAATAACGAGTGATGAGAGTTTTATTTCGATAACGAGTTGTTAGGTCGTTAGAGTTTACATGTAATTGGGTATCATGATCGTCGTATTGTGTGTAGTATTTAATCTTCATGTCGATTTTTATTATCATCTAGAATTATTTTGGCCTTGGAACAGAAAAATAAATGTACATTTCTATTTAGTATCTTAACATAACCATTCATGCCATTTATGTTTGAGGTTATCCATTTCCTTTTTCTACTGCTTTCCAAATAAAAGCGTTAACAAGTTCTTAAATACAATCTGCCATAGTGAACATAGTATCATCATTTGACTTCACCATATGGACGTGTTAGTTTTCGTTGATTTCATTGGATTCTTATTAATAACGCGTTATGTTATATAACGTTTCCTATTCTGTAAACAAGAGTATTAAACCTGCAACTTTTCTGGTTATAGCTTCTGATTTTTGCAGTCACTTGTTTCATAGTCAATCTTATTTATAATCAGAGTTTTAATCAGTTGTTTATAATGTATAGACCTGACAGAATGTTTCTGCTTAGTTAGCAGTTTGATTTGTGTTCACACACACTTTCCTTTGATTAGTAAAAATCTATTTGGTTTGACGTCCGATACATCAGAGTTTGTCACATCATATTGTCGATGGGCATGTTTTTGAGAAATTGTATATCTCTGAATTTAGTAGAACTCTTCATCCATGTCAATTGATAGTGGTTTTGGCGATGAAATCAAGTTGATGTAGATACCCCTGTATTTTCCTGAGTTTTTCCTTCAATTCATCAACCATGTACCCGTAAAAATCCATTTTAATAAACGAAAATCGGAACTGACTTCGAAAATACTTAACACAATGGTTAAGTTTGTCTCACGTTGGGAATGCACGGTATAAAAAAGTTGTCATTTTTCGGACAAATTCCAGAAGCATTGTCTTCGGGCACGTTATTGGGATTGTTAAGCTCTCATACGGGATATTTTGTTGGCTTCCAGCAAAGCCGTAATTACTGAAAGCCAAAAGCTGAAGAAGAATAATTCAGTCTGTTTTCGTGCAGATGTTTGAGAAAACTTGTACGACTTTCCCTGTTCATATGCAAGACTGCTTCGTTTAGCAAGAAAATTTGGCGTTTTGTGATAAAAGAATGAAAGGCTTTCAAAAGATGGGAGGAGACTTTAAAATACTATATAACCGTTGATGACCGTCGTGTTATCCAGTTCATAAATCTTGTTTTCTGAATGATCAACAATTATTCCCTGCTTTTTGAACTTATAGGAATTCAACTTAGGAAATATTCGGATTGTAATTTCTACCTGCTTTTGTTCATCTATTCAGTATCAAGGCTAATATCTGTAGTATTATAGATATCAAAAAGGCTGTAGAAACAGCAGTGATATCTTCTAGTAAGGTAAACCATAAGCCGTGGATCTCAGTGGCATCCACCGAACTGATAGGGGCTCGTAAACTCATCCCACCTGGCTCTGAACATGATGAAGAGCGAAGTCAGCTTAGACGCAGACTGATAAAAAGTCTACGTAACGACCGCGAACAGTGGTGGGTGGCGAAAGCAAAAGCTATGGAAAAGGCAGCAGCGATAGGCAACAGTAGACAGTTGTTCCGCCTTATCAAGGAAATTGTTATTAGGAACCCAAGTGTGAGTGAGACTATCTTGGAAAAGGATGGTCTTATTATTCATTCTCAATGCAGGAGATTGGACCGATAGGCAGAACACTTTAGAGATCAGTTCGACTGGCCTCGAGCCACTCTTCGGTTACCCACGATCTCCTGTCATCCTGAATGGCAAATCGACCTAAGTTCCCCTAGTCTTAATGACGTTGAGAAAGCGTTAGGAAATCTGAAACGAGGACGAGCTGCAGGTCCTGATAGACTGACCCCTGAGATATTTAAGGATGGTGGTCCAGTTTTAGCAGCTAGATTGACTGAGATCTTAGGTAGCATCTGGGAACTAGACGTAATCCCATCCGACTGGTCTCAATCCCTGATTGTCCCAATCTATAAGAAAGGACAAAAGTCTTCTTGTGACAATCACAGGGGAATAAGTCTAACTAATATAGTGTCTAAAATATTAGCCTCAGTAATACTTCGACGCTTAACGAAAGCTCGTGAAGAGCAGACTAGAGAAAACCAGGTTGGTTTCAGACCTGGACGTGGCTGTATAGACCACATTTTCACACTACGACAGGTCCTGGAACACAGACACACACTTTGACGTCCTACAATAGTTGTTTTCCTGGACCTTAAGGCGGCATCTGACTGACTGAGTAATGAATAACTGACTAAATTTTCTTGTTAGTTGAATGTACTTTCAGTCAGGGCATTATTGAATCTGTGTTTTCTAACATAGTAGCCTAAACGAACTGGATATTGTCATACTTTTAGTTACGTTTCACGAACTGATGAATGTTTGTTTCAGTTGACCTCTCAAAATAAGTGAACCCTCGTTAATCGTACCTTCAAACCATCAGTGTTTAAGGTGTCTTTTCTTGTTTTTCAAAAAAAAAATATTTAACATGGGAAAGGTGATTGATGTTAATAAAGGAAGAATGTCTGGTAGAATTAATTTCAGCCATACGTTTATTGTACTCTCAGTTTACAAACTACACATTGTAACTCATTTTTAACGTAAAATGCTAGCCAAATGAAACTGGATAGTCCACAATAAGAATTCAAATTTGATGGTTTTTAACTTTGAAATATGCTGATTTGGAAATAAATATGAAATGAGATGATTCTGTAATTTAAAAAAGCCATTTGTTATGTTTAATTCTTCTGTACAATCGTAATCATTCAGCTATCTTGCCATGTTGTAACATAAACTGCCCATTCTACTGATTTTCAAAACATTATCCAGTTGGTTATGTTTCAAATCAAATAAACTACATAATCCTTAGCCTACTAACTACTGTTCAAAGATGACTTCTAACGTTCACTTTTGAACTTTCAGGTGTATTATTTTTTAGGTATTGTATGGATTCCATTTTATTCAGTATTGATAATAGAGATAGCATTAACATTATTTCAATGTAGTACAGACCCCCTATTTGTAGCAAAACGTATCAATCATATGTGCTTTTCTTTTAGGTCACGGATCTGATGTTCGTAGTGTAGCATGGCACCCTGTCCTTTCTCTTATAATATCTGGCAGCAAAGATGCACAACAACCTATCAAATTATGGGATCCTAAGACAGGTGAATCTGTATCGACATTGTAAGTTATCTCTGAATAAACCGAGACACTACTCAGATATTTTGATATGATTGATTACTTACAAACAAATTTTAAGACACTTTACAAAAGCCTTCAGACTATTCGGTGTATTGTCAATGTTTCACAGTTATATTTATCTGCTAACAGCTCCGAATCTTATATCTTCGTAACCGTAGTGCCTGTGGTCAGTAATAAAGTTTGGTAAATGAAATGATATTTTGACATGCTTTATTGTAAACCAACGAAATACAATTATTAGTCATCTCACTTTATGGAATTTGAATCTTGAAAAATGCAAACACTATACAATACAGTTACTATACACTAAATGGACTTTAAAACTATTTGTTATCACAATACATTCTACAACATAATTTGCAAACTTTTCTCATTAAGTTAATTCACAAGGTGCCTTGTTAAGTTTTTGCTGAAATGTTGATCTGTATCATGAATTTTGTTTAATTCCTATAGTCCTGAATAGAAAAATGCGTCTTTCAGTGACAAACGTCGTAATCAGAAAGTGTCCGCAATTATAAGACCCTTGTATGATAACGTATAGTTTTGAATAATAACATGATACTTCTCGTTTAGCAGCTGTATGGTGGTCAAACCAGGTGTTTTTAAAGTATCTCGGAATTGATTATACAAGATTTGTTTGTTCAGGTATGTATATGTATGTTGTCACGAATATCTGGTCTCTGGGTCTTCGGATTTACCGCCTAGTTAATTACATTGTAAACCTAGTCAGAACAAATGTGCGTGAGCTAAAACAAAATCCTAATCTAAAATTGCACAATTTTTATTCTATACCAATTAAACTTTTTATCCGTCAGAAACAATAAACAAAAATATCGAAATCACAAATTATGTTTAACATGGTTCATTTATAGATATGTCCATAAAAATACATGTACAGATGTTTCTTGGAACGACAATGGCAACTGGTTCCTAACTGCATCCAGGGATCATTTGATTAAATTGTTTGATCTACGCAATCTTAAATCAGAGTTACAAACTTTTCGGGGTCATAAACGTGATGTTATGCGTGTTGCATGGCATCCATTTCATGAATGCCTGTTTGTGAGCGGTAGTGCTGACGGCGCTATTTTTTACTGGCTCGCAGGGTAGGTCTTGGAACTTTTTTTATAAAGTATTTGTTTCTTATTTTAGTTATTTTACAAATTCATCATTTAAAGATCTAGATTTTCTTTGAGGTTTTTTAATTAGTGACTTTTCATACTACCTTAATTCCTAAAAATCAGATATTGTCATTGTTTCTGATATCATACACCACTCAAACCCCACCAAATATATGCAGTCGTGGACTCAGATTTATGCGTTTTAGTCTTACCTATTCCTTTTGTGTTAATGTAGATCACCAAACAGAACACTTCAGGGGTCAGTCCCTTTGGCCTTCAGTCACGATTCGGTTACCCGCGATCTCCAGTCAACCTGAATGGCAAATCGACGTAAGTCCTCCGACTCTTAATGAATTTGAAGAGGCTATAGGAAATCTAGAGCGAGGGAGAGCGGCGGACCCTGATAGGTTAAATGTTGAGATATTTAATGACGGTGGTTCAGTTTTAGCAGTTGGACTGACTGAGATCTTAAGTAGAATTTGGGGACTGGACGAAATCCTATCTGACTGGTCTCAATCACTGATTGTCCCAATTTATAAGAAAGGACAAAAGTTTTTTTGTGACAGTCGCAGAGAAATCAGTCTGACTAATAGTGTCTAAAATATTATCCTCGATAATACTTACTAACTAGGGCTTATGAAGAGTTGTACAGACCACTACGTCAGGTCTTATAACGTCCCACAATGGTAGTATTTCTTGACCTTAAAGTGGCATTCGACTCTGTCGACTGTGACGTTCTGTGACAGTGTCTGTCATTAAAAGGTGTGCCAAAGAAATATATATATATATATCTTACAAAACCGCTCTACTCGGACGCTACTGGTCAAGTGAGAGTTCATGGCGTACTGTCATCAGAATTGCTGTCTTCAAGTTGTGTTCGTCAAGGTTGTCCACTCTTCCCATTCTTACTTGATCTCGTCATTGACATGCTTTTAGAGACAACATTATCTCCGTCTGATTTTTCAGACCTACCAGGAGACTCGCTTCTTGACTTAGAATATGCCAATGACTTCTGCTGACAAAATGCGGAGTCCTCTGAATACCCTAAGCAACAATGCGAGCATGTTCGGGATGAGATTCTCCCCGTCGAAATGTAAAATTTTGCTTGAGGATTGGGTTGCCTCGGCACCTGAACTAATGATTGGGAGTGAAGCAGTTGAGCAGGTTAACCGCCCCACTTATCTCGGGAATCTCATCAATGCTAGCAGCTTGGTGTATGACAAAATTAATATCAGTCAAACAGATATCCTAAAGCATGACAAAATGTCAGTACGGATACAGAGGGCTCGGTCAGCTTTTGCTGACTTGTGTCATTTATGGCGTAGATGGGGTATCCGTCTGCTAACCAAAGGCGGAATGTACTGCACAACAGTTCACTCCGTCCTACTTTACGACTGTGAAACGTGGCCAATAAGAGTAGAGAATATTCATAGGTTACCGGTGTTTGATCATACGTGTCTCCGAAGCATTGTCCGTTTATCATGGGACTATCAAGTAGTTGTTAGAAAACAAGTACTACGTGAGGATGGCAAATCAATAGATGAAGTATTGGAACTTCATCAGTTGAGGTGTTTGGGACATTTGTTGCATATGCCTACCCACTGACTTTCTCGTCGAGCTATATTTTGTGGGATAGGGGTAGACTGGAAGTAAGCTAAGGTTGGCTAAACAATAACATGGCAGAAATCCATTAAGTCACTAGCAAGTGGACTGAGTCCTGTTGGTAAGCGTCGACTACCTGGTTGGGCCCAGCGATATGATAGTAATCGATGGTTAGAAACCTAGAATGACTTGGCTCAAAACCGTTTACAGTAGCACAGGTGCACCCACTTCTTGTATACTCCTAAATCCTAAGCTTATGAATTCTTCATCACTTTTACCTTTCTCTTTTTCAGTTTATTTCACTAGATTATATTTCTCGAATAATATCGTCGAACCTTAATTTGTCCAATATAACTGCTAATACTTTTACTACATCTTCTAGTATGGGATTTGAAATGACAATTGCATCTCTGTGCTGATGTGGCATGGCAACTTGAACTGATGTACGTACGTACGTACGAAGTTCAACGTCGTAACTGACTGACGTCGCACCACAGGAAAAATTGTATTACCTCTGTGGTTAGTCCCTTGATCGTCTAGTATAAGTGATTTATAGTGTTTGGTGTGTAAACTTTTTAAGGAATGTGACTAATGAACTGTTTTGTATAAAATTATCAGTCTTCATTACAATTCACTCATAAGCATCCAATGCTTTACACCGGTAGATATTACATGGCATATGGGATATATTACTTGAGGTGACTTCCGAATAAACTAAGCTTTCAGCATGAGGTATCACAACTCTTCTAAATGAACACCTTCCAACTCCCAGGACAGAGTTTAAGTGGTTCAAGTTAGTTAGCGCCTTTTTGGAGATGAAGCCGCTAACCGCATGCCCAACCCTCTTCCTTATTCAGACTTGGGACCGGCAGTAACCCTCGGAAAACAATCGGCAGAGTAACAAACAAAAGCAAGTTTATGTGAAAAGTAATTGAGTGAATTGTTTCCCATGTCTATACTTATACTGTGAAGTTTGTTGGTTTTTAAATTTTTCTCGCTATTTTCATCTAAATAGAACGGATACTGAGCTTGGAGCTGTAGACAATGCTCATGAAAGCATGATTTGGAGTCTTGCTTGGCATCCGTTTGGACATATTTTAGTATCTGGAGCAAATGATTTCGCCACGTGAGTATTTTTCAAAATGATGTCATTTATCGTTTTAAGCTGTTTCTACACTAAAATACCAATGTAACTTGAAGTGATTTACCGATCGATTAAATCTGACTGATAAGATCAGATTCAGTCAAACTCAACGTAGAACCTGCTACGTGTGTACATTGATTACATTTACCATACTATAATAACACGATGAGATGAAAATATTGGACGAAATCCTGGAGTAATAGAGGTAGTAACAGTATCAATAGTGCTAATATGGCATGGTAACTTGAACTGATGTACGTACGTACGAAGTTCTATGTTATTGTTGACTGACTGTATAATCTCACTAAAAGTGCTTATCAACCACTTCACTGTATAGTGTAAACCAACAAACGGATGATCCAATTATTTATAGAGAACATACGGACGATTTCAGCCATTGGCTATTGGAAGTAAATATAGGTCAAAGAGCAGCAAAATCTCTTGAATATTATACTAACCGAACGACGCATTCACAACAAGTATTAGATAAGTACCTACAATATAAACTGTTCCCATTGCGAAAAGCAATCCAGCAAAATGGTAAACCTTTCAATTTTTGTCTGCGTAAATACCGATATATCCCCGCTCATATTATTATGTATAGAAAATTGCATACACAACTTCGACTGCGAAGGCATTTAAATCTTGAGATTTTAGAACACTGAATAATTTTTGGCCATCTTTAATCAATAAACACTAGAATTAATCCAATGTTTTATCAAACTGAAAAAGTTTTTATTAGTTGTTAAGTCAGAAAACAGGTCAGGATAAAAAAACTAAAATTAATATTTAAGCCATCGCATCACACTTAATTGCAGCAACCATTCAAGTCTTACGTTGACGTAGTATCTATTATCTAGTCTAAAATCTCTTTTCTGTTGAAAATTATCAAATGTCCAGCGAAACAATAAAAACTCCACGGTCAAACCATCAAATTTTGAAAAAGTAGCACTACTATGAAACTGTCCTCTCTTGGTAACCGGTGAAATGGCAGTAAAAGGATCAAAACTCAACTCTGGACGAACTTATATATTTACAGATAACTTTGTTTTTTGTTTCGTAGTGAATATGTAGGCCTACTAGCTAGCAGTTTCTCGAAAACGTAGGTAGAAGTGCACAAAGGTAATTAACAGCGCCCCAAGAGTAAGCATACGTTTTATTATGTAGCTATAAATGGTGAATCCATCTAAACCATCCCATTAGTTTTTTCGTCTTAATCTTTAAATTCGTTGCTGCAATAACTCTAATTTTATTTGCATCTATACGCTACTGTTTTAATCTTGAGATCACTTTCATTTCTTTGAAGTACGTTCTAATTAGTGCTAATAGCCTAGCACAAGTTCGATCACTTATTTCAGACTTTAATTGATTGGTCTTGTTTATGCTTTTTATACTCAGTTCTACCAATTTCATGACTTCTTGCTTTCTAGAAAATTCTGGACGCGCAATCGCCCAGGTGATGTTCTCAAAGATACGGTTAGTGCGGTTGGTTCAGACAACCTCGTTCAAACGGCGGGTGCAGCAAATTCATTAGCTAACACATATTCCTTTGGAGACCCAGAAATAATTGATAATTCATTTAATATTGACCTGCTTAAACTGGTTACGGAGCCACCGATCTCCTCCAACCGGATCGATACTCTTGATGATTTGGCATTTTCTACTAATCCAGATGACTTAAGCACAACTGAGATACCCGGACTCAATGAAGGACCGGTAACTGATTTAAACATAACGGATACTGATGATCCGGAAGAGCGTGAAAAAAATAAACTCCGCAGTTCTAGGACTATCCCCAAAGAATTTGCCGCCAATTGGGCAAGTACACGTATCACAGCAATGCCAACTGTAATGATACCCACACCTAGTCCATCAGTGATAGCTGCCGCAGCTGCAGCAGCGGCTGCCGCTGTCAGTAATCTGAATGCAACGCCGCAGTATTTGCCTCCAGTTAAACCACCTGCTTTAAATAAAGAGAGGCTAGTGCAAAAGCCTGCTCCAATCAACCCTTCAGAACCCGAAGTTACAGTAGATCAAATTCAAGATAGAGGTTTGTGTAAGACCAACCAGATACCCTTCGTTGAACAACCAACTAGTGAAGTAAACAACGGCATTCCCAATCATCAGTATGATCAACCACCTTTCACAGAACCGCTTCCACCGAGAGGTTTGGAACATGCACCAATTCCTGAACATAATGTAGATATCAGAAATAATATGAGTGAGTGATTAATGTTGTGTATTTTCTGACAAAATTGCCATTTAATGCCGTCATTATTATTATTGTTATTATTAACCGCATCCTACTTTGACTCCTAACAATGTAATTATGCAAATTTTAAAAATCTACAACAATCATTGCTTGCATAAAAAAGGCAACCAAATCTCTGCCTTATTTTTATTTGAACACAAAGAGGCACAAACCAACGAATTAATTAGTGAGCTGGGGTTCTGCTCGAACGCCCAAACCGAAGCATGTGGTTCTCTTGGGCGGTCACACTCCCAGCCTTTGACCCAACAGTCTAATTCATAAGGCAGTGGAACAACGTTGGGAGATGCAGTCCTATGGTTGCCGGCGACCAACAGTAGGTCCATACACTATTCGTTCCGTCAGGATGCTGAAGCCCATGTGCACTAATATTTTGGAATTAGGGTTTTCCAATTCCTCTATATCTTTTGTTAACACTAAATCATTAGAAACATGTTGCTTCGTGCTTCAAAAGACAGACTGAAGTCTTGAAATCCAAAAAAATAAACAGGTTTAACTAAGATAAAAGGAATTAGGTATCCAGGTGTTATTTAGGTTATCTATAAAACCGCCGCCATTCAGTGTTGTCCTTACTTGATCAGTTAACTTTTGAAATTCCATCTAGAACTACTTGAAGTGGTTCTGTTTTCAAAATTAGTTGTAGGACATGTATTGATACTTCTTGTTATTTTAGATTTTAAGCATATATATCCTGAAAAATCTCTGCATGGTTGCGGAAGCCTCGATTGGCTTTTGCCAATTTAAGTCACTTGTGGCGTGGAAAAGGCATCTATTTGCCGGCCCAAGAACGAATTTACTGCACAGCAGTTCGCTCCGTTCTACTTTATGGGTGTGAAACATGATCATTTATAAAAGATATTCGTAGGTTACTGGCATTCGATCGTAAGTGTCTTTGAAGCATTATCGTGGAACCACGGTACAGTACTGAGTAAGATGGCAATTCGACTGATGAGCTAGTAAATCTTCATCAACTGAAGCGGTTCGGACATGTATTACATATGTCAAACTACCTCCTACATCGACGGTTGGTGTTGTCTCGTGCAAGAGTAGTTTGCAAGGAAGATAGGCACGGCCAAACCGAGACATTGCACCAGTTCGAAAAGTCATTCATAATTAGACTGAGTCATATCGACAGGTGTAGACTACTAGATTGGGGTCGATGTGATTATCGTAACCAGTGGTTAGAAACTTTGAATCACATGGTTCAAATTGTTTGCAACGACAATCTGAACTGATGCACCCAAGCACGAAGATCTACGTCGCGACCTACTGAGAATTGGTGTATAAGAGATCACTGTTATTGCAAAATACTAATAGTGTTCGATGTTTCCCTTACAATCTCGTTTAGTGTTCATGTAAAGTTAGCCAACTTTCTTTACCATTAGATAAGTAGTGATAATTATACGTAAAACACTCCTATGGATTCTTACTGGATTACGCTAGATATCAGACACATTATTTAATTCATGATACGAACTGAAATCATACTCGAAACTGTTTTTTTATTGCTACCTGATGAAATTCTACAAATTTCCGAGTTGTCCTGTTTGTATGATACCTACCCAGATTATTGGATAAAAAGTAGGAAATTTCTATAATTAATTTTGTGTGCTTGTGAATCACATTTCGTCTACTTGTATCGTTTTAGACTCATTAGACTGGGATCAACGAAATGATGAACACCCCCCGCAAGCTGAGCACAACGCACCTTTACAAGCAGAACAACCAAATAATCTATATCGCGAGCCTTTCAGTGGGCCTCCACAACCGTATAACGACCAGGATCATTTCATAGAACCGAAGCCATTTCCTAGACACAGAGAAGACAGGGATTACAGAGATCACGAACACAGCGAGCAGTTTAATCGGTCGTTCCCTGAAAATGATCATTACTATAATGGACCTCCTGGTGGCTTCAACAGTGGGCCATCACATGGTCATCACAATCGTAATACAATTCCTAACGATCAAACGCATTCAGAACGAGGTCGACCATTTTCTCCTACTATGGAAAAATATCCGTACGATCGAAGGGGAGACCGTCCTCCACCAATGAGGCAGAATTATGACGAAGATAACTGGGGTAGAAGATGGTTGGATAATAGGAACACTCCTGATCGGTTCGACTATCCTCAGGGTCCACCTAGACGTCCTCCACGAGAACCAAGGCCGCCGCATCCAGATTTTTATCCTGACCCTCGGCATCCACTCCCCCCGAATTTTATCCCTCCACATAAGCGTCCACCCCCAATGGCACCTGGTAGTCAACCGCCTGATCATATGAGGAAATATCCTCGACAAGACCCTTCTCGAAGCAAACCACCATGGAGTGGATATAATCGATGGTAACCCAGAATTATACAGTTCCTGTACAGTCTGAATAGCATAGATGCTGTTCTTCCCCTGTTACATTTTTACACTCAATAAATGCTTTATACATATTACATTTATGTACCGTCAGTGGGACTGTTAACATACACTTATAATCCTCACTAGTACTGCGTACACGAGCTGTAATGCATTATTTTTTTAATGTCAGCGTAATTAATTTTTTCACCAACAACAGTAAAAAAATAACAAGCATAGTTTGCAAAGGATTTCTCGAAATCGCTGGATTGCGAATATTTAGGCTTACAGTGCTTTGCTTTTTTCTTAATCTAGAATAGTAGCATGTGCAAAAGCTAAATGATCAGGTGTGCATAATTCTAGGCACTACTGAACAACCGTCTCGGGAAACGGAATCAGTAGGTCTGCCGTACGTAAATCGAGAATGAATGTAAATGGGTAGTGTTGGTTTTTTAGAAAACCTTAACGTTCTGTCAATGTGATCGCCATCCTACCGAAGCTACGATCAGATACAAATGGTAACTGACTAATAAGGCATATCGACCAAAGTTAAACCTGTTTTTGATAATCGACTGGCACCGTATATGGCGCAAACTGATTAACGCGATCTGACTATATTTAGGTAATCACCACTGTTGCTCTTACCAAAACTGAACACTAGGTAACGCGTGAAGATAAGTATATCATCACGGAAATTGTCAATTCAAATACCCTTTTACGAATAAAGTGCAGCTATTAAGTTTAAAAGTAAAAGATTAGTTTTGACTCTTTATGAATGATTACAGCTTGATTTATACATGTACAATTATTCAACTATTGGAAAGTTAATTCAGAGAAACAAACATTACACTTTTTACCCTAAACAACCTTGATATATGATAGGGCAAGGAAAAGATCGAAGAAAAAAGATCTTAACACCACTACTCTTTCTGAGATAGGCTTTTACCTTCTATAATATATTTCGTATGATTTCCATGTGCAACTAGCTGTCCTGAATGTTCGTCCACGAATTCTATTTCACAGAAGGCCAGGCGCTTCCCTTTCTTTAGTACATATGAATTTGTCCGAATCCACGAATCTAATTTCCCTGGGTTTATAAATCTTGGATAATTAGAATATTTACGTATATAATGACTCACGATGCTCCAAGATTTACGCTAACATGTTTCGTACACCCTAACCTCATCAGGTCGACAGAAGTTATGAAATCGACAGCCCCAAGAATGTATCCACCATGTAAAGTGTTCAGTGAATTAGCTTCAGAATTTGTAACTTTGAACCTACAAGTCAGGCAATTATCAGTTAGTGAAATAGCTTGGATTCCTCTGAAAACCTGATTGAATGTCCCACGACTTGTCAACTGTGCTATAATCTGGTTAACGACATTTAGCGACATCTAAAATTAAAGTCACAAATAAAGATAAAATTATATCAAACGTTTGGTACCAAGTAGTTTGATCAATTTAGAGATATTAGACCGAAATATTAACACATGCTCCTCTTACCTCGTGTTCATTGTGTGGTCTACGTTTAGTAGTTTACATAGTTGACCAGGATCATCCGACCAAGAATCTAAATCTTACGACTGGTCACAGTGACAGTCCTGAGAAATGACATACATATTGATTTTTGGTAACGGATTTTCATAGCTAAGGTACTAAGCTTAGTTTTTGTGTCATAAAAACGTTCTTAAAAATGTGTTCTCATCTGAACAGCACATAACGGATAGTTCATCCTTTATTTCTAGTCATATGGATTTATAGGCCAATGACAGATACCTGGAATGTAGTTTTTGACAGTGAAGCATTTCAACCTGTTTTAGAAAGCCTTAAAAGTAACAAACTTCTACACATAAGGATGCTTTTCATAGTCCAAGTCACGAATTGATCTAAGCTAGACTACCACTAGAAACATGGAAGCACTGAATAGCCGCTCCATTCTAGTTTGGGAGTCGTCAGCAGTACGGACCCAAGACCATCGGTTTCGCGAGCAACCGCTTAACCTCTGAATTATATGCTTATTATTTAATATCCAACATCTTTTCCACGAGCTAGTGTAAACCAGTTTGATTTCTTCGCGCTCAATTCTTGTTCTTTCGGTACGGTTCCAGGTGTTCGGTAATGTCCAATGGATGGAGGTCTAGCCACTCGACTGTCTAATTCTGGTCAGTTGCCAGTTGGTTGTGAGTTCGTATGTCTCGGGATTTGAATGAAAACGTTTATTTCAGGGCAATAGGGTTTCTGGATACCAGCAGCCGTCACATTACCAAACCTGAGATCAGTTAGTTGCAATGTGGAGAGTAATAAGGATAAAATTCTAATGATAATATGAATAAAATTTTAGAACTGAGTAATATATAGATGAATTTAGTTTGTTAATTGGTAGTGAAGATTGTGAGAGAGGAACGAAGTGTAAGCAAAAGAGAGGAAACAGAGATAATGGGCGAGATAGATTAATTGAGTGATCTGAGATGGCAATGATAACAACTAGCAGGTCTCAAATATGCATCATGAACAGCTTATCCAAGAGGGAGATGATAGTATGTATGTGAGTACGTGATTATGACGTCTCTTCTTAAAGCAGTCCACCGAGGGGGGCTGTAACTACCTCGGCTGGGAGAGCATTCCAAGTTGCGACGACTCGCAATGAGAAAAAGTGTGCACGAATCTGAGTATTCGCTCTTTGATGTGCAATCTTTCGAGGATTGCCTCGAGGGGAGTGGTGGTGATGCATCGGTAAGATGCTCACATTGGGATGGTTTGGCGTGTTTAATATGGTGTACGCCATAATCAGATCGCCTCTGATTCTCCTGTAGCTCAGTGGGAATAATCCCAAGAGCTGGAGTCTATCATCGTAGGGTTTATTTTTCAACAATATCACCCATTTGGTTGCTCGTCTCTGCACTCGATCCAAGAGATTTATGTCTCTTTTAAGCAGAGGGGGTGCGATGACGTAGTGAACCTCCAAGTGTGGGCGCGCGTACATCTTAAACAGGGTTAAAAATAATTTCGGGGTGATAGCACCAAGCTGTCTTCGCATAAAGTGAAGAGTCGCATTTGCCTTGGCTGCATCCCCTACATAGTTCGGACTGGTGTGGAGGCTTTCTATGGTTATTAAACCATGATCGCGCTCTGAGGAGACATTAGGGAGCGGCCTTCCATTGAGGGTAAAGGTCGTTTGCGTCATATGAAGCAGGAAATTCATGACGTGGCACTTCGGTTGGTTGAGTTTTAAACCGTTTTTCACTGCCCATGTCTCAATAGATGTAAGGTCCTTTTGAAGCTCAGTTGAATCCTTTTCGCTTCTAATGGACCTCCAGATCTTCGCATCGTCTGCGTAGATCAATGCCGGTGAGCTAACCGAGTCTAACAGGTCGTTAATAAATATCAGGAAGAGAAGTGGTCCTAGGATGGTCCCCTGCAAAACTCCCGATGTGGGATACTCGCCAACTCGCGTGCACTCTGTTTACCTTGGTGCGAAACTTTCTATTCTCAAGGTAGTTTCTGAGCCAAGATAGGAGTGGGTCAGTGAAGCCCATTTCCACAACCTTTTCGATTAGGCGTGCGTGGGGCACTGTGTCAAAGGCTTTTGCGAAGTCGAAAAATATTACGTGCACCGGTATTTTACGGTTCAAACAGGATATGTCCAACTGTCCCATGCGATGAGATTAGATGCACACGACCTGCCTTCCGAAACCCGTGTTGAGCATTCTTTTCCATGTACTCCCTCATTTGTTCGTCCACTAGCCCTTCCATAACTTTTGATAATATTGGTAGTAGTGCGACTGGTCTGTAACAGACTGGGTCCTTTCTATCTCCTCCTTTGAAGATTGGAGAGAGTAGCTTGTTTCCATTCAGCTGGGAATTGGTGTGACTCCAGTGAATGCCTGAACAGGTCGCATAACGGTCAAGAGAGGACTTCAGCACACTGTTGCAAGACTATAGGGCGGATTTTGTCACAACCTGGTGACTTACCTGGGCGTAAGGATTTTAGTTTCCTTAGTACTAAGTCAGGAGTGATACGACTGTTCCCTAAGCCGTCAGTGGGCAATGGGTTGGCGTAGTACTCTGAACATGTAGGCGCCTGGTTTCATTGATCAGAAAAATTGGTGTTGAAGATCTCAGCCATCTCTAGGTTGGTGAGGTCTTCCCCGTTTGGTCCTTTTAGAGAACACAACCCTTGATTAGTAGGTTTTCTTTCGGACATGAACCTAAACAGATTTTTCGGGTATGTCTCTATTTTGGCGGCTAGCTTCGTCTGGAATTGTCTCCTCTCGCTTCGAACTTTGGTATCGCATCTGTTTCTCAATGCCAAGTAAGAACTGAGATCGGAATCCTTCAAGGGGATCTTCCACTTGTGTTGTGACTGAGGCACCTTGTCTACGACAGCATTCTGGATGATTTCTCTCACTGTTTGCCAGTGATCATCTACTGTCAGCCTCCACCACTCCCGTGGCCATGAGTATGTAGGAGGACCTCTCTCATGTGAATGTTGTTTGCCCTATTGTAGCAAAGGAAAGTCTCGTTATCGTCTCATGTGAGTGTTTCGTTTATTACCATGTTACACAAGACTATGCCATGGCCACTACTACCCATTGGTGCGCGGACGTGAACATCCTCAACCAGGAGCTGGTCATTTGTTAACAGACAATACAGGTTTGAGGACTTCCCTTCCTTAGTCCACCTAGTGGCACAGCATACGTGCTCAGTCAGCCCACAGCTTCTAATGGCTGTACCAAGTTGTCTTTGGAACCAACCAGTGGGAGTTATACTCTGATTGCTGAGATTTGAAGATGGGGCATTGAAATATCCCGCTAAGAGTATTTGATCAAACCCCAGGAGTGGCAGTTGCAGTATTACCTCAACCAGTTTGCTTTTCTGGGCCTTAGTACCCGAAGGAGGTAGGTAGATCCCTCCAACACCAACATGATCCTGTCACCTCAGTTAGTTGGGTGTCGTATAGTCGCTCTGCTTTTAAGTGGCTATTTATATATATAACCACTCCACCCCCAGTTTGGTGTTCCCTATCGCTTTGGAAGAGTGTCATGCCTGGCAAGCTCACTTCTACGTCTGCAATGTCCGGGGATAGCCATGCTTCAGTTAGGATTATGATCTTCAGATCCACGTATTCCTGATTTCTAACAGCTTACCCCTTAGTCCTCTTACGTTGCAATAGAGGCACTTAGTGGTTTGTCTCAGCACCTGGTGCACTTCTGCAGCAGCAGCCGTTGTCGGATTTTCAAACAAGTTATTCAAACAGAATGGACCAGTTCTGTGGGAACTGGCCTCCGCAGGTTTTTCGCCTGCGCGGTTGGTTCAATATGTCTTGTGCCAAGGGTAGTTGACCGAGGTTAACTATCAGTTTTGTGCGTTCATTTTGGCTTCCCTGCTGTTTTCTCCAGATCTAGGTCGGCTTTCGCAACATCTGATGTGGCTAGACAGATCGTTCCTCGAAGTGTACCAAGCTTGTAGTGTTTCAGTCAGGTCTTCCCGGTTCCTAAATGTCACAGCCATCAGGCGTGGTGACTTGATAGACGTAAGGTGTGACGGGCGGGGCAACCTAGAAATGCAAACAGCCATCGTGGTGTGGAGGGATAGGCTACACGATAGCCATCGCCACTGTTGCACATCGTGCTCGTGAGCTTCGTCCGGCCTACCGCTGGTGAGTTCGGGTATACCGTGAATTACCATGGTGGTCTGTTCTTGGGTGCCTGGCGCAGTCCTGGCTGCTGCACGTACCTACCACGGCTTGTCACGCCTGATGCGAATTGGCGGAGACAATTTGACCGATGGTCTTTGGGATGAAAGGATGATATCTTCAGCAAGTCGTGCCGAGGCAAGAGTTACCCTCAATGGAGGGGGTTTTCCTTTCGAAACATTTAGGCCTTTGAAAAGGCGGTATATTTTGGCATAGACGTTGCACATTCCGAGGGTTGTGCAGTGTTTATCCCACTGCTTTTTGTCGAAGGCAGCCCTACCTTCTAGCAAGCTTTTTTCCGATACTGGGACATTAAATAAAATGAGTTTGATCTGTCGTCCCTGTTCTTGGGTGGTAGCCGCTTGTGAGTTGGGGTGTTGCTATTTCCCTTCTTCACGTTCACCCACTGTTTTGTAATGCTAGCAGATACTGGGGGGTTAACAACAACCGGCAGTTTTGTCGGTGTGTTAGGCAGGGTTGTTGTAGCCTTGGTCACTTGTTTTGCTGGTTTAGTGCCAGGCGATTATGATTTGGGCGTTTGGACTTTAGGGCTGATTTTGGGTGGGACCTATGGCTTTGTAAGTGCCTCAGATACTCTACACCGAGGGCAAATGAACCAAAACCATGGGCAGGTGTGACTCAGAATGAATCCGTAGTACTCTTTAGGTACGGTAGTGTCGCAGTGACAATGTACCAATG